ATTCCAACCATGACTCTATCCCTGTATCTCAGAGCCCTTTATCTCTGTCCCATTTAGCCCTTTCAAATATGCCCAATTGTTCTCCCATCTGCCCCATTTCTCCACTTCCCTCTCCCTCCCTGTATATTGCCCCCCTCCCCAGCACCCAAGCTCTCCTGTGTCCAATCTCTGCCCTAGCCTTGTTTTGACTGATGATATAGAGCTTTTCCATCGTCTCTTTCCACAGATGTAGTCAATTTGATTTCTATGTATTCCATCTGGTGAGGTCCATGTGTGTAGTCATCTCTTAGGCTGTCTAAAGAAGGTATTTGAACAAATCCTTGATTTTGCAGAATTCTATCATGTGATGTCCAGCATCATTTCTATCACCAAGGCCATATTTCCCAACTACTGATCCTTCTTCCTCTTTGCTCCCAACCTTTGCATTCCTATCACCAGGAACGATCAGTACATCTTGATGGCATGTTTGCTCAATTTCAGATTGAAGAAATTGGTAGGATTCTTCTATTTCATCCTCACTGGCTTTAGTGGTTGGTGCATAAATTTTAATAATAGTGGTATTAACTGGGCTTCCCTTTAGGTGCATGGATATTTTCCTATCACAGACAGCGTTGTACCTCATGACTGATCTGAGTATGCTCTTTTTGATGATGAATGCAACACCATTCTTCTTCAATTTGTCATTCTTGGCATAGTAAACCATGTGGTTGTCAGATTCAAAATGGCCAATACCAGTCCATTTCAGCTCACTAATTCCAAAGATATCGATGTTTATGCATTCCATTTCATTTTTGACAACTTCCAATTTTCCCGATTCATACTTCATACATTCTATGTCAAAAACACTAGAACTAGGTTTTTCTGTATTATCAGTCTCAAACAAAATAGGAAATCCCAGGTTTTGTTTTGGTTTATCTCTAATTGTTTGTTTCCTATTTTATTATATTTTACCTCTAATCATTACAATTTCCTTTCTTCTACCTTAAAATATTATAAAATAGAATGAAGCAACCTGTGAGTTCAATGTTTAGCTCATTAATTTTCTTTCTTCAATTCTCTTCTACACATTTAATTTTCTCACCAACTATCTGCTGCATTGTACAAGTTGTGGCATATAGTGAACTTAGCTGTCATTCAATTTTTAAATAATTTATAATTTGTTATGACTTCTCTATTGAAGCATTACTTAATCTGAAGTATTTCTTATTTTCAATTTCTAATGCCTGAGTTTGGTTATTAGTTAAAAAAAAAAATCGCATTACTGATCAGTGATTTTATTATACTGTGGTCTGAAGTAACACCTCTAGCATTTTCTGGAACTCTCTGGGTGGCCCAACACATACTGAGGTTTTTATAAATGCCCATTATGTACTTGAAAAAAATATGTATTTGCTAATTATATATGCCCGTTATATTAAGTGTGTCAATTATTTTATTTCAATTTCACAACGTATTTACAAAGTAACATTTAAGTACAATAAACAGTTCTAAAATTAGCATCTTAAACCTTTGCAGTAATATGTATTTAAAGACCATCAACTAATATTAGAGATGAGAGGCAAAACACATAATGTGTGTAGTTGTAAATGTATATATATATAAAACTTTGTTTCCTATAAATGTTCTGAACCTTGTTCCCTGAAATAACCTGTAGATTGTTAGTAATAATGTTCTTCTCAAGAATTGGATAAAAATCTCATATCCTTTCACTATAAGGTTAAAGGTTAAAAAAACTTAACATAACACCCAAAAGTTTATTTGGGTGGTTCTTTGGTTGAAATTTTTACAGAGTGATATTCTTGTGATCAATGAACTCATACTGAAGTCTGGATAACCTAAAATTAAAAAGCAAGACATTTTTATGGATCCCTCTTGTGTTAGGATCTAATGAACAAAATTTGTTTTTGACAGTCATATGATAAGCACTGGACTGCAAACCACAAGGACCACAGTTCGATGCTCTGTGCAGGAACAAAATGAGGCTTTCTGCTCCTGAGAAGATTTAAAGCCTCAAAAACCCTATAAATGGTCACTAGGAGTTGGAACCGACCCCAATAGCACTTAACAAGAACAACAGCAGTAACTTTCATGACTATATGTAAGTAAAACATCTATATTCATAGAGCCAATAAAGAAAATCGAATTTTCTTTGATTATTCCAATTCTTTTAAAGTCCTCCTCAGATCTATTATCTTTCTGAAGACCTCTAATATATAATAATATATCTATACATACACATAACCAATTATTTCTATGGCTACCTTCTACTTAGTTTCTAAAATGGTTCCTGAGGAGATTTATCAGTTTTTAGATTTTTATGTTCTGGGTTATAGCAACAGTACTTTTCCTAATTGTTTTTCATTTCAAGGGTCAATGTGTCAAACTGTTGTAAGCATTATTGATTTAAACTCTTGTAGGCAGTGAGGTTACACTGTTATAGCTGTTGAGACAGCTTGTGTCCAGTCATTTTGCTCAGTTCAATCCAAATTGTCCTAGAGTTCTGATGTGGCATGGTAGAATCAGCACTGGACTGCTAACCACAGTGGTTCAAACCTACCAGTTGCTCCTTGGAAACCCTATATAAGGTCGCTATGAGTCAAAACTGACTTAACAGCACTTAACAACAAGAAGGAATCCTAGTAGGGCACTATAAGATAAGCACTGGACTGTGAACTGCAAGGTTGATGGTTCAAACCCACCAGCTGCTCCTCAGAAAGCCTACACAGGGTTGCTATGAGTTGGGAACCGACCTGAAGGCATTTAACAACAACAACAACAAATATAGCAAATATAAGCACTTGACTGCAAGGTCTGTTTGAATCGCAGGGTCAGATGTTCAAACTCACCAGCTACTCCTAGGAAACACGATACAGGGTTGCTATGAGTCAGAACAGACTCGAATACACTTAACAACAACAACAAACAATATACATAAACAATTCTGATTCAAACATATCAATGCGTTCTGAAGAGGTGAAAGAGTTTGTCATTACAATTTGATAAACTCTCCACCAGAAAATGTGATCTAATCTGGATGGCAATCATACTGAATAACTGATGAGGCTATTAACAGGCAATTCTGACTTGACAAATTCTTTAATACTGTATGTACAGAACCTAGATTCTTACTATATAGCAACCACTGGTTAAACAGCTGATAAAATAGTGAAAATAAATAAATGTAAAGCAGCCGTTGTGAACAAATACTTTTGTTGTCGTTGAAGTGAAGATTTAATTCACTAGTTTCTATTTCATAATGTATTTTTAAAAATAACTAGATATGTAAAAGTGTAGCTGACTATCACTCCTGAACATATTCCATACAGTAATATTACTTGATCTTTTGAGTATTTGTTTTCTTGTTCCTTATTGTTATTTACCATCAAGTCAATTCTAATACAGAGAAACCTACAGGGCAGAGTAGAACTGTCTCATAGGGTTTCCAAGTCTGTAATCTTGATGGAAGTAGATTGCCCCATCTTTCTCTTGGGGAGCTTGCAGGTTCAAAATGCTGACATTCCAGCTAGCAGTCAAGTACTTAATCACTATGCTACCAGAGCTCCTTTTTCTTGTTTTGAGGTACAGTTCAGTCATTTCCAACTCATAGTGACTCTGTGTGAGGTTTCCAAGGAGTGGCTTGTAGTTTGAACCACTGATATTTCAGTTAGCAATCCAGTGTTTATCCTACAGTGCCACACTACGACTCTTCTTCTTAGTTGGTCATCTCCTAATCAAATATTAATTTAATAATAAATTCACAGTTGCCTCTTAGCAGAATTATCATAAAGATATGCAAAACTTCAAGGAGAGTTTGTGATGTACAGTTCAACAACAACAACAAAAAAGCCAAACAAAACACATAAAATAATAAGAAAATGAAGGTACAAAGAAAAAAGCCTTATGCAATTCATATTTCCTGAATTCAGACCTAGATGGGAAATACTTCATGGAAACTGGGATAATTCATGAGTAAAGACAAAAGCAAAAGTATAGAAACAAAACTGAATTGGTGATGTTCAGGAAAAAAAAAGCATCTTATAAACTTAAATGGTTGTGCTTAAAAACAAAATAATTCAACTAAAAGGTTTAAGTTTTTTGAATGTTAAGTCCCTGAGTAAATATAAAATAATCTTCAATATTATGTTTTTAGCTTCATGCTTCCCCAAAAAGACTTGACACATTTCAGAATTTCTGTTGGACTTCTCCATTGATAAAATAAAAGATACTTGGACAATTACCCCTTACCAGTTCAACTAAGGATCTTGCTTCCTCTTCAGTGCAACGGAAAGGGCTATCACACACCTGCATGTTTGTGCTGGAGAGAAGAGAATGCTGTTATTACACAGGATGAAACAAGAACAATTATCAGAAGAGAAAACAAACTCTGAATATTCTGCATTGACTGCAAAATTCTAGGCAACGCAGAAGGAACTGAAAGAATATAAACTAGGACACTGAAGTCTGCAAATGCAGAGGGCTCCACAGTATTGCATACCACAGAATTAAAAACAATTAAAAAAAAATAATGTTATACAACTACTTAAACCACCAAATTCAAACCCACTGCTACTAAATCAATTCCAGGATATAGTAGAATTGCTCCAAATGGTTTCCAAGGCCTGTAAATCTTGATGGAAGCAGACTGACTGCCTTTCTCCTGCTAATAATTACCAGGTGTATAGTAAAAAGCCATACTACAATTACACCTCACCTTTACCGAAGGAAAAAGGAACCAGATTTAAATCACAGAATGAAGACTACAAGGATGAATTTTCTTGCAAAGAAACTTGATGAACATAGTAGTTTACCACTGAGAAACTCTGTGGAATCTTTTTTTTCAGAGAGGTTTGGAAGATTAGAGTTAAAAGTGGTGAAAAGAAACTATGAAAATGTAAGCTCTGTGTTTTCTTAAAAGCAGGGAAATAAAACTAGCAGTTCCTTCACAAAATTGTAAAGCCTTTCTTGTATCTCTCCAGCACACCACCCATTGATTATTTCCTACTTCCTACATGAAAGCAAAGGTGTCATTTCTCTCAACCACGTAATATTTATTGTTTTCTTTCCACCAGAGAAACAAGCAGATTAAAATGAATACTGAAAGAGATGGTGGATAGGAGAGTTAAAATCAAATTATTATTTTTAAAGTGATTAGCAAATGCCAAAGGAGCTAAACATAAGTGAAACATACATATTTATATTACTTCCTGCCCTGTCACAGTGAAGTGAAGGAATATACATTATGACATTATTTCATAATCAATTTGTAAAGTACATTGGGATATCTAAGGCTTTAAAAAGCTCTCTACTTTGTTATTGGCCTTTTTAACAATATGTTTGCAGTCAGGCATTGAGAATATAGTAATTAATGTTGCTGTTAAGTGCTGTCGAGTCCTTCCTACAAGTAACAACTGGTGGGTGTGAACTGCTGACATTGTGGTTACTAGCCTAGTGCTTAGCCTACAGTGCCACTTGAGGGGTCCAAAATTCTAGACCTTAAGGTCATAGTAATTACAGTTAAGTAATTATTTGATTTCTGTGTCAAATGAAGATGTAGAATTTATTTTCATTTTGGCATGAATAAAATTTGATGAATGTTCAAATATCATATTTTGATATTTTCCTTTCCACAACCCATGTTTAAGCAAGTTAAACATAGAAAAATGTAGGCATTATTAGTCAGCTTATTGTTAATAAAAGTGAAAAATACATGTAAAGAGGACTAGGCAAATAATTATGCCTCATTGTTGTTACATGCTGTTGAGGCGGTTCCAACCCATAGCAACCCTATATAGGGTTTCCTAGGGGTGGCGAGTAAGCTTGAACCACCCACCTTGCAGTTCAAACTGACATTGCAGTCCAGAGCATTAACCCACAGCACCATTTTGTTGTTGTAGTTAGGTGCCATTGAATTGGTACCGACTCACAGCGACCTTATGAACAGAAGAATGAAACACTGCCCAATCATGGGCCAACCTCACTACTGTTTCCATGCTTGAGTCCATCGATGCTGCCACTTGGCCAATCCATCTCGTTGGGGGTCTTCCTCTTTTTCTCTGACCCTCCACCTTACCAAATATGATATCCTTCTCCAGTGACTGCTCCCTCCTGACAATATGTCCAAAGTATGAGAGATGAAGTTTGGCTATCTTGGCATCCAAGAAGCACTCTGGCTGCACTTCTTCCAAACGGATCTATTGGTTCTTTTAGCAGCCCATGGCACTTTCAGTATTCTTCTCCAACACCATAACTCAAAAGCATCAATTCTTCTACGGTCTTCCTTATTCACTGTCCAGCGTTCGCATACATGAGGTTATTGAAACCACACTCTCGTCTGTCAGTTTGTCGTACTGTAGTGGCTTTTGAGATGCTGTGATTCTGAAAGCTATGCCATCGGTATTTTAAAAACCACCAGGGTCACCCATGGTGGCCAGGTTTCAGATGAGCTTCCAAAGACAGACTAGGAAGAAGGAGTGACAAACTACTTCTGAATACTTAGTTACTGAAAACCTTATGAATAGCAGAGAAACAGCACCATACCAGGACATAAACAACAGAGTCTCAGATGATAGTTCTTTGAAGAAAGCATGATAAATATTACATGTGCTATATGCAGTGATTTAAAATTTATAATCTAAGTGAAAATAAAACATTGTTTCAAAACTCTGAGAAAATGATGATAAGAGAGTATGGAGCTAAAATACAGGTCACCCAATTGAATCTTATATACACAACAAATTAATTTTTAGTTTCAAATATGGCACTGGATATATTTATGTTTTAAAAAATGTTGCTCTTAAATTCAAATGTAGCTGAGTATCTTAGATTCTTATCTGGTAAATCTGATAACTCTATTCTCTAGAGTAATAGTCTATGCCCAACACCACTTGTCTGTCCCTATGTCATACTGTGTTGGATGCATGATGATGTGATGCTGGAAGCAATGTCACCAGTATTTTAAATAAAAGTAGGCTTACCCATAGCATAGAGACTTCAGCTAAGACAGACTAAAAAAAAGGAGAGGCACACCATTTCTGAATGGTTAGCCACTGAAAACCTTATGTACACGGTTAGATGTAGTGCCAGAAGATGAGCCCATTAGGTCGGAAGGCATTCAAAATACGACACACTTGTCTAATTCAAACTGACTGAACTAGCTATTTTTTATTCCATCTTATATGTCTTTTAATTTTTTAAAGTTTTGATAGATTCATGAATGCTCTATTAGTTATAAAACTGTCATATTTCAGTTATTTATCATTTCCTAGCAGTTAGTGAAATATAACAGAAGTCCTGGTGTGGTGCTGTGAATTAATTACGCTGGACTGCAAAGTTGGATTGAACCAAAGGTCAGTAGTTCAAGTTCACTAGCTACTCCTCAGAAACCCTATGCAGGGTCACGATGGGTCTGAACCAATTCAATGGCACTTAACAACAACAACAGTGAAATATAATAAACTGAACATTTTTGACTTTTTACAAGTGAGGTGGCTGAAGAGACTGGGGTGAAAAAAAGGTAAGAGGGACTAGAAAATAGATCTAAATGTCTAACTATATCTGTATATATTTAGTCTATATATCACCTAGAACAGAATTTAAAGTTTTGTTAGTTAAGAAAAGAATAATGAAATAATTTCCTGATAAAATAATATTCAGCTTTTGAGTAAACATTAAACAGTGAAAAAGAGAATAAATAAAAGTTTCAACCAAAAATCTCACTCAGATAAAGAGAATTACTTAAAATGAAGTTCATAAATACAGCATCTCTAGAAACAGATGAGTGACTATCTAGATTAAAAAAAGATAACTGATAATTGCGGGCTTTAAAATATTACTCAACAGTTTGCTTCAACAAGTATTTACTGATAGTTACTATATACCAGGCATTAGGAACACAAAAATGCATAAGACATCTTTACTCATCTGTTCTGAGAGAACTTAAATTCTAAAGGAAGAGACAGACATGTAAACCAGTTACTTCAATATAACTACAATGATAGGAGGGCAAGAAATACAGAGAGGACTGCCATCCAACCTAGCAAGGGACAGAGGTATACAGTAAAGTTTCACAGAGAAGGTGAAGACAAAAATAAAATTTTATAAAATGAGTAAGTTGGCTAGTTCAAGAAATGAGGGCAATCACAGCAAAGTAGCAAAATGAGAAAAGGCCTAAAATAAGAATATGGTGTGTGAGAAATGGCTAATGGCTCTAAGGTGGTGGAACATGAAGAGGCAAGAACTGACGAAACCTGAGGCTAGACAGCAAACAGGTCAAATATTGAAAGGCCTTGTTTGCTCTTCCTTGAGAAGTTTGGGTTTTCTCAGTGGCTCTTATGAAGAGAGGCTCATATCAGAGTCACTAAGAAAACTTTAAACACTGATGCATGCTAAGATCTTCCCCATCCAGAAATCCCTTCAATGGGAATGTATGCTCTGATTGGTGACCACTTTCACCACTGACAAGGGGAAGTGAGGAAAAAACAGCAATGAAGCTATGAACTAAGCCCTACAACGCTCAACAGACTCCTGTGAACCCAGATGGAGACCTAGTTGGCCAGCAGTGTGCCAAGTCCAGGGGACTCTTGGACCCATATAGTCAACGACAGGGCCACAGAGGACTAGAGTGAAGAGTGAAGAGTCCAGCTGATAAGAAGAGAGGGAACATTCATAATTACACCCACACTTGCAGATAATACCCACTTGAACTGGCTTCAATGGCTGGATGATCAAAGCTCAAACAGAAGAAGAAAGAAGAGGGAAAAAAAGAATAATCTCATACAATTTGATGAACTTGACACATGCCTATGGAAGCAATAGCTCAAAAGAGTGAATAAATATTCACAATGAGGATCATTCCCACCTCCACTGCATACAGAGAGGACAGGGATCGGCAACTTGGACATTGGCTCCCAGAATGGGGGGGCTAGAGAGGCAAGAAGTGACTGACTTACAAGCTTTCAAGAGGGAACCTAGATTCAAAGGGTGTGGAGCAAGGTGGAATCTCCACTGAGTGGTATCCATTCTGCCTAGTCAGGGCTGATAAAAGAAGATGCAGATAGGTCCCTTGCGATACAACAGCAAATAATTGTTATCAAGACTGATTATAAGGGCTGGAAATGTAAAGGTGAACATTTTGGGGCAAAGGAGGAGGAGTGATTAACCTTATAGTCTTGGAATGGAGGTCCCTGGCACCATCGAAGGAGAAGAACAGAGAACAGAACCCTACCCAGAGAAGCAGTGATGCCAGGGAGGGAGGCAGAAATGATGACATGGGGAGATGGAGCGGCTGGAGACTTGGGATCTGGAGAGAAAGAGGGGTGGTGTGTGGATGACAGGGGGGCAGGCTTGTAGGGTATACCCTTTGGTTGATCGATGATGCATGGAAGGGATTGTAACCATGGCAAGGAAACGATATACGACAGGATCAATGTGAAGTTGATGTCCTCCCATGTAAACTAACACATAATTTGAAATAAAGCATTAAAAAATAATAATAATAACATTACATAGAAAAGATAAATTCTTACCAATTTATCGTCCCACTATCACATTTCTTCATAAGCAATGCTTTCCAACATTCATGAGTAGATTTAATAACTTCAAGGGCAAAAGCCTAGTCACAAAAAAACAAAAGCATTAGCAATCACAATGTTAATTTATTTCATCTGCTAATTCTGTTACTAACACAAAACTATTATAAATATAATAGACTAATTATTAAAGGAGTACTGGTGTGGTGCTGCAGAATAATGTGCTGGACTGCAAGGTCAGTTTGAGCCACAAGGTTGGTGGTTCAAACCCACCAGTTTCTCCTCGGGAACCCTATACAGGATCACTATGAGTTGGAACCAACTTGATAGCACTTAACAATAACAATGATTAAAAAGATGAACTCTGAAGGCAAATATCAGTATAAATTCTGTTTTCCTCACCACCTATGTGATGTTAGACATGTTACTTAATTTCACTAAACGTGTTTAATCATCTATAACATGGTACATACTGGGGAATAACTTATGAATTATCGGCATTTCAGAACAGGAAGAATCATTAAGTCTACAGAAGAGATAGTTGAAGAAATTCTGGAAGAAAATTTCCCTAACGTCCTGAAAAGCGAAAAGATAAGCATTCAAGAAACTCAACAAACCCCAAGAAGGATAGACCCTAAAAGAAAAACATCAAGACATATAATAATCAAATTCTCCAAAATCAAGGACAGAATCCTGAAGTCAACTAGGGAAAAGAGAAGTATAACATACAAAAGCAAGCAAATCAGACTAAACTTGGATTTCTCAACAGAAACCATGTGGGCAAGAAGAGAATGGGGATATATATAGATATAAAACCCTGAAAGAAAAAAACTGCCGACCAAGAATCCTCTACCCAGTAAAGCTGCCAATTAAATATGATGCTATAATCAAAACACTCCAGGATAAACAGAAGCTTAGGGATTTTGCCACAACCAACCCTGTGATGAAAAAAATCCTAATAGGAGTTCTGTGGACAGAGAATCAACAAGAACAGACAACAACCAGAGATTGACATATGTGGCAGCATCACCCAGAAGTCAACTGACAAATAGAAGAGTTGAGAACAGAATAAAACTATAAGAACAAATTCAGAGGATCTGGGACATCAGTCTATGATCAAAGCAACTACAATGTGAAAGAAGGTAAACACAGAGGAACAGAGATCTAGGTGGTACAAAGGTCAGGTAAATTATGGGATAAAACAGACTGTCTTAAATGGAGGGAAAAGTTAGAGAAATATAAGGGAACCACAACCATGGGGTTGGGGTGGGGAGCTTCGGGGGAGGTGGAGGGAGGCAACGGTAGGGCACATGGTAAAGGCAGACACATCATAGTTTGGGTGTTGGGGAGGGCAACACAAGAAGGGCGAGGAGGCGTAAGAACAAGGTAGATACGAGAGCAATGATACAGGTTTACATGGGTTAAGTAGGTCAGAGGAAAATAGTGATGCATGCTTAACCTTGGAACAACAGGACTCTGTGAAGAGGGGAAATGATACTAAGATACCTGTCTTATGAATATTGGTTTCCCTTGCCTACTACTGTAAAATAGACACGTGAGTAGGATAGAAAGGAATATTGGGAAACATTATTACAGAAAACTTGTAAGCCTGTCTTCAGCCTATAACTGATTGGAATACCTAAAATGGGTTCTAGAACTTGCCCAGTGACACAGGCTTCTTATGGAACCTTTGCAGAGTATAGGACATTAGGTGGAATCCTGAGTCCCATCCAGAACCTTCTGAGGTGGGACATTCCCACTAGAAAGGACAAGCAGACCAGCCTGGAACAGCAAGAGTGACAGAAGATACATGTTCAAAGAAAGATCATTAGGTAAAACCCAAAGCAAAATGGCAATATGAATAACCACTGCAAGAATAAGCAAGATGTTCGCTGGGACACCATCAAGGCAAACAATCAAGTTCCTTCTGGACAACCCCCCTTCTAAGACTGAAACTCAAAGGGAACACATGAACAGGCCTGTAAGCTTGCTGGTGAACACCTTGGTCTACTGGTGAGTGGAAGAGGGGGAAAGGCAGCAATGAAGAAATGGGCTCAGTTTAACCATAGTCTATTGACTCCCATTGACCTGGTGATGAAAAAGAGAAGATCTAGGGCTGCTGGTCCAATATGTGGTGAGACCTGGGGACACCTGAGCCCAAGGACAGGGACATAGCCACAGAGGGCTAGAGCAAAGAGTGAAGCATCCGGCTGATATGAAGTGAGGAGAGACGCACAAGAACACCCAAATTTGCAGATTGTACCCATTTGACCTAGTCTCAAAGGCTTGATAATCAGAACTTAACTAGAGGAAGATAAAACAAAACAAAACAATTTTTGATAAAGGAAACAAAGGTAAATTGCTGAAATTTGATGAAACTGACCTATACTCATGGAAGTAGTAACTCCAACAGAGAGGGAAGGACTCTTCACATCAAGTATCAATGCTATCCCCTCTGTACACAGGGTATAGAGGGACGGGCAACTTAGACATTGGCTACCTAAAATGAGGGGGCAATAAAGTGGCTTACAAGGTTTCGAGAGGGAGTTTAACTTAAGAGTGTGTGTGGGAAAAAAGAGTCCCCACTGAATAGTTTTCATCTTGTCTAGATGTTGTGTTGTTGTTGTTGTTAGGTGCCATCTAGTTGGTACCGACTCTTAGTGACCTTATCCAGAAAAGAATAAAACATTGCCCGATCCTGGGCCAACCTCACTACTGTTGCCACGCTTGAGTCCATTGATGCTGCCAATTGGCCAAACCATCTCGTTGAGGGTCTTCCTCTTTTTTCTCTGACCCTCCACCTTAAAATACATGATATCCTTCTCCAGTGACAGTTCCCTCTTGACAATATATCTGAAGTATGAGAGAAGAAGTTTGGCCATCTTGTCTAGATAGGTCTGGTTAAAAGAGATGGGGATAAGATTCGTATGATTCAATAGTGAATAATTTTTATCATGACTAATTGTGACTGTCACAATTGTAAAGGTAGAAGTTTTGTAACAAAAATAGGGGAGCAATTAATCTTTCAGTCCAGAAACAAAGGATCCTAGGACCAACAAGGAAGAAGAGGACAAGTGGAATGTGGGCTACTATCCAGAGAAACAGCAACACAAGAGATACAGGCTGAGATGGGGACATGGAGAAGGCAAGCGACTGAGGATTCTAGATTCATGGGATGAGAGAGACTAAGAGATGGTGGCCACGAAGCAGAGTTGCAGCATGTGACCTTTGGTGGTATAAATTATTATATATGCCTGAGTGTGTGTTTTTTTTTAAAGAGCTAAAGTGAATAGAGATGGTACATGGAGGGGTATGTAATCATTGTGACGAAACAAGGTGTATGACTTATTGAATGTAAAATTGATGATCTTCCCTGTAAACTTTCACTCAATTCACAATAAAAACTTAAAGAAACAAAAACAGTTTCATAAGGATATTTGCACCTGGGTATTTACCAGTTTGTCATACTGTGGTGGCTTGTGAGTTGCTGTGATTCTGAAAGCTATGCCACCGGTATGTTAAATCCAGCAGAGTCACCCATGAGGGACAGGTTTAAGATGAGCTTTTGGATGAAGATAGACTAGGAAGAAAGAGTGACGAACTATTTCCGAATATTTAGTCACTAAAAACCTTATGAATAGCAGAGAAACACTTTCAGATATAGTGCCGGAAAACGAGCCCCTCAAGTTGGAAGGCACTCAAAATGCAACTGGTGAAGCGCTGCCTCCTCAAAGTAGAGTTGACCGTGATGACGCGAATAGAGTAAAGCCCATGGGAGAGAAGCGCGGGACCATTGCTAATGGGGCACTACTCAAAATGAAGAGAAACAGCTATAAACAAACATCCATTGAAAATCAGAACATGGAATGTAGGAAGTATAAATCTGGGAAAATTGGAAGCTGTCAAAAATGAAATGGAACGCATAAACATAGATATCGTAGGCATTAGTGAGCTGAAATGGACTGGTATTGGCCATTTTGAATCTGACAACCACATGGTTTACTAGGCCGGGAATGACAAACTGAAGAGGTATGGTGTTGCATTCACGGTAAAAAAGAACATATCCAGATCAGTCATGAGGTGCAACACTTATAGGATAATATCCCTGTGCCTACAGGGAAGCCTAGTTAATACCACTATTATTCAAATTTATGCACCGACCACTAAAGCCAGTCAGGATGAAATAGAAGAATTCTACCAACGTCTTCAATCTGAAATTGATCAAACATGCAATCAAGTTGTATTGATCATTAATGGTGATTAGAATGCAAAAAGGTTGGGAGCATCAGTAGTTGGAAGGATCAGTAGTTGGAAAATATGGCCTTGGTGATAGAAATGATGCTGGACATTGCATGATAAATTCTGCAAAATCAAGGATTTGTTCATTTCAAATACCTTCTTTAGACAGCATAATAAGACAACTAAACACATGGACCTCACCAGATGGAATACGCAGATATCAAATTGACTACATCTGTAGAAAGAGATGATGGGAAAACTCCATATCATCAGGGAAAACAAGGCCAGGGGCAGACTGTGATACAGACAATTAATTATGGAAATTCAAACTAAAGCTGAAGAAGATGAAAACAACTCCACGAGAGCCAAAATATGACCTGGAATATATCCCACCTGAATTTAAGGATCATCTGAAGACCAGATTTGATACATTAAACACTAAAGACCAAAGACCAAAAGAGT